TATTTAAAGCTTGTTTTACATCTTCAATAGGAATAGCTTTAGCTATATTTACAGAAAAAAAATTAAAAATATATTGTATTAACCGTGATGTGCCGGTACCCTCACTAATTATATCTCGGAACCAGAATGTCATAGAAAATACTAACAACAATAGAGCTAAATAAAAAACGTTATAAGCACTACTAAAACTATGCATAGATAATGCACTACTAACAGTTAAAATAAACAAACTAAAACTTGTGTTAAATGGTCATGGTGAAGGAGATACTAAATGAAACGGATGATTTTGAAAATTACTCCTTACTATTTGAGTCATTTACCGTTATATATTAACAAATTAAAAGCATACAAAGTATATAATTCTTAAATTTTTAAACAACGCCCGGGTCTTTAGGGGGCGCCCACGATGATGAATAAAAATTTTTTAAGAAAGAATAAAAATTAACTTACCCCCTTTAAGAAATAGGTGACTCGAACACCCAACCCTCCGTGTGTAAGACGGCTGCTCTACCTTTGAGCTAATTTCTTTTATATTAAAAAAATTTTTTTTCGCCTATCCCCTCCGCCTCCTCCTCGACTAGTTGAGGAGGAAGGAGGGGATACAGAAATAATAGATCCACCAGATTTATATAATTCATTTATAGTTAAAGATACTAAAAAGGTAGATTCATTATATAATAATGAAAACCTGGTTATGAATGTAGGCTAGAGAGTTTTAAATTAAACAACCATAAAAAAAATATACTTTTTATATTTACAGCTCGCAGTAATTTATCCGCGAAGGACTATTAAAATTAAGAATTAAGTAATCTTATCTATTGTCTTTAGATAACACAATTTATTCTCAAATGTAAAGGAACGATTTTTCCACAATCTATTTGAAACAACTGGCTGACTAATATTTAAAAATTTAGCACAAGCAGTTTGAGAATCAAATGTATTAAGAATGTTACCTTCATTATCTATAAGCTGGATAATTTCTGGTACTCCTGTCACTAGGAATCTATTTTTGGAAATTATTCAGGTTCTACTTTCAATAGTTTTGTAATTAGAAGGTCCTTGCAACATTCGTTCAATTTCAGCATATAATAATGCTCTGTCCACAACTAGTATACCGGCTGTAGACAATCTACGAGAATTCATTTGACTGTTTATTAATTTTATTAAGTTAACACCTTCATCTTTATATTGTAGACCCATGTCCTTTAACTTTAAGATCGCTTTCCAGTCTTGATAATCTTTGAATTTTTTTCAGGGATTAACACATCTCTAATATAAGCCGTGTTAGCTATACTTAATTTATAAGTATGTCGAGGATTTTCTGGTTTTTTTTTGATTAAGAGAAACCAAGTTATCATCTTTAAATTTAGACAAATTTTCTGCGCTCCGCGACTGGTAATTTATTAAAGAAGTCTTGAATAACCACCATTAAAGCAGAATCTACTGCAGATTGACCTATATCTAAGATTAATTGAAAATCTTTAGTTATAATATAAAAAGAACCTTCACCTTCAATGAAACCTAATAATCTATTAGGTGTGATATTATAGATATGCCCTTCTGGTAATTGAAAATCTGTTCTGTTTGAATTCATCCCGCTTTTAATAAGCTCTAATCTTTGAACTAACTCTAATCCTTCAAGGTTTGTGTTTTTAGCTTTAAAGTTAATATATAATTCAAAAGCTTCCTTAAAAGCTAAAAATTTTAACCTTTTAGTACTATTTAAAGGGAACTCCTCCTCGCGAAGCGCAGGCAAAAATTTTTTATTCTTTCTTTAATCTCATCTTGTTTATTGATTGTATAAACACACACAGATTTCTGCATAATTATTTTACCTAAGCCTAAGGTATCCTTTATTCGAGTCAACACGTCAACATCATCCACATGAAGAGTAATTTGATAAATGAACACAAAATAAAGACTGTTCTGCTTTTTTTTAATAAAATGTACCTTCTGCATCTGTAAAACCACCAAGCCATTCGTAAAACGTACTACCCTTATGTTTAATACTTTCAGGGGGTTAACAATGTGCCATATGCACGGTGCTACCTTCATAGTTATTAAAGATTTACCGTAAGCTGCCACAGAATCACGGACTATTGCGGCTCCGCCGTGTAGAAAATTTATTAACTCTTTGCGCAGCAACTCCAGCGCTAGCTAATTTCATAGGCCGGAGTACACCATTGTTACGTTTATTTGTAAGATAAGAAGGACGGCTTCGCAGAACCTCCATAACTGCGGGAACTATTATTATTTACTCGAGGGGTTTTTTATAGTTATTACTATAGACCCTACCATCGCCAATAAAAGTATTAAACTAGTTAATATAAGCCACATATTATAATTTGTGTACATTATATTACCAATAGCGGTAATATCACTATTTTCAATTAGCGCACCATCTCATATATTACTTGTTACAAAGTGTATATTCTCACTATATGTATTTATATTTACTTTTTTATTATTTTGATTTAATGATATGTTATATAAAATATTATTTAAATTAGAATAATTATTAAATATAGCAATATTATAAGGTAATAATTGAAATAGAGGATAATTAAAAGATATCGCTATAGCTATCGCTAGAGGTATACTATTGCTAGTATTACTTTGCAATTCACTTATTCTAATATTTATTAACATTAAAATAAATAAAAACAATATAGATCAATTCTAATTAACTGAAATATAAAATGTATTATATCTCAAGGGTATAATATTACCCTGGGAGTTTCTATCTACGTATTAAGATAATACTATTGTGCAACTTTTAGTATGTCCTTCCCCCTACGAATCTTATTCGTTATAGAATCCGACTGTACATTTGGACAGGTATTACAACCTAACCCTGGTGAACCAGTCTGTAGCGACATTTACAATTGCCGACGGTCTTCAACTAGGATGTCGTTAACCGTTTTCACCTAATTTTTCTACAAGTATGGAAATTATACGGTTGTAACCTTCTTTCATTTCCTCTAATTTAATTCTTTTCATTTTTATCCACTATACCTACGACCACTAAAATATTATTTACTTGTAATGACATTAATTATAAAATACAGGTATTCTTTTAACTTTATAGTTATTTATTACAGCATATCCATCGTTAGCTTGTAAAGTTTCCGAGGATAAGTATCTACTAACAGTTCTATATTCTACGCCTAATATTTCAGCAGCATCATTTAATGTAGATGCTAATAATATTTCTTCATTATCTTTAATAATTTCAAAAACACTATTAGTTCAACGCCTGTTAACAGGTTTTCCTGTTACTGTGTCTAATTGACGACCATCATCCAAATGTCTAATAGTAGGTTTAGCTTTAATTATTTTATCTCTATCTTGATTAGATAAACTATACATTTTTTTTCTGCGCCAGCGACTGAATTAGTAGATAATCTATAGTTATTCATAGAATAAGAGAATTTAATAATTAATTCTTTTATATCTTCTATTCTATAAGCTCCATTATATATAGCTTTACAGATTGAAATAAAATCTTTATAATATAAACCTTTTTTACTAATAAACGTCATTTTATCTAGATAAGGTATTAAATAATTTATTAAAACATTAGTATTTTTTATTCTAAGCACACCTAGAGGTTTACTATTCTTCTCAGCTTTCCCTTTTATTACTGTAATAATTGATGCATTATTTAATTTAAATATAGAATATTTATCAAATCCTAATTTATTTATCAAATAATTTTTTATCTCTTCTAGAAGAGAAAGTTGTATGTTACTTTGTGCAATTGAAAAGATAGGTTCCATTTTACTTCTGTCTAAATAAAAAGAACCATCACCCTCTATTAGCCCTAATAATCAATAATCAGTAATAGTAATTTTATGTTCTAAAGGAAAGTTAAAATTAATACGGTTACTATTCATTCCGTTTTTAATATCTAATAATCTATTAAAGATATCTCCATCTTTAATTGTTTTAACTCTGTTTTGATAAAATAAAAAAGCTTCTTTAAAATCTAAATAATCCAAATATTTTGTAGTATTTAAATTATACTTATCAAATATTTCTATTAATTTATATATATCTTTTGGGTGTGTAACTGTAAATTTACAACTATTCCCGTAAACTGCAATATCATTACCTATACTTAATATCTTTTTAATAATATTTAAAGTATCCTTATCGTCAATATGTAATTCAATTGTAAATCTAAAAGTAACACTAGATATATTACCTTGTTTATTTTTATAAAAAGCTATATTAAAATTAGCTTCAGCATCCGAAAACCCTGAAAATCAACATAAAAAATGTTCTTTGTTTCCGGCTACAGTAGTTTTATAAGCAAGAGTTGAATAATAGTTTCTATTTGATTTATATAAAGACTTTTGTGATTTTAATGTAAAAATATTAGATACTTTATTAGTTGTAAAATATTTATTTGCATTAAGAAATAAATAAATAAAAGACCGTAATTTTAAGAAGTTTAGGATAAAAATTTTTATAATTAAAAGTACCTTGTAGAGAGAGATTTTAACTCACGCGGCGAAATTTATACGTTGATTTACCGCACCTATATAAACAATTAAATAAGCCAAACCTATAAAACTTAAACCTAACATTATTAAATAACAGGATATACTAGCAAATAAACCTATTAAAAATAATACTGACACAATAGGATTCTTACTTATAATAACAAATATACCACATAAAATTGCCGATGTTGATATAATATCCAATATATCTGCTTTATAACCATCTGTGTAAGTTTCATATAAAATAAATAAATTATTCATATTTATAGTCATAAATGTAATCATATCACCTTCGTAAAGGAAAAATCCAAGAGTACTCAGACTTGAACTGAGAATTTGAAGGTTGAAGCTTCCTATTTTACCCTTAAACTATACTCTTATAAAAGTATATTTATTGCGGAAGAAGCGGGATTCGAACCCACAAATGTACGAAACACAATATTTAGCAAATATCTTACCTTGCCTATGGAAACTCTTCCTAAATTATATTAACGAATTAGGAGGGCATCGAACCCTCATCTTCCCTCGTGACAGGAGGGTCCTTTACCTATTAAGCTACTAATTCTTAATTCGCTGCACCCTCGAACCTCGTGAAAAAATAACCGACCTTCGGAGGCGCAGCCACCCAGCACGAGCTTCGCTCTGCGTTGGAACTATAAATTATAAAAGTGAAGATTTAAACGATGATAAATAACTTGCATAGTATATTACAACTAATGGGGATCGAACCCATAAATTCCGTTTGGAAGACGGTCATCTTACCAATTAAATGATAGTTGTTTAGATTGATTTAGGATATACGAGATTCGAACTCATATGTTGTCGATTAAAAGTCACATACATTACCATTATGCTAATATCCCTTAATTTTTATTAATTATTATACGCCTCTAAGATGAATCGAACATCTACTCTCAGTATTAACAGTACTGCGCTCTACCTATTGAGCTATAGAGACTTTATTCTTTATTATTCTCTTATATGTTTTATCTAGTTTTCTGTCTCTTGACCCTGACAAGGGTCAAGAGCGAAAACCCCGAAGGAGAAAACAGTAATAATGAAGATAGTATCGAAAATGAATAAACAGTGTGAAGTGATTCTGATTTTGATAACAATAATGGCTTCGCTAAAAAAGATTTAAACCATAGTGGCGGCGAAGTCGCCGGAAAAGAATAAGAAAATTGAGAAACTTCATCTTCTACGAAGTGTTCAACCCATTCATCATGATTTGCTTGAATGAGAGAAAAATGGACGAAGACCTCGAAATCACTCAATAAATCAAGAAACAAAAAAATATTATTAATCTTAACTTTATCAGCTGGGCTAGATTTCATAGTCAAGCCTAAATATTGTTGCGATGAAAGTTCTTCTGTCGTTACAAATTCTTTATTCGAAAGCGTTGAATATTTTCTAGTCGCATTAAAAGAAGCTACGCTAAATTGACTCCTACTTATATCTGCTTTTCAAAAACACAATATGGGTTTAGCAAATAACAACCTAGGCACACCATAATCCACACCTGGCTGCCTTTTGTTCCTCGCGTTAAAAGAGTAAAGCTCGCAATAATATTTTTATTATTCATTTTTTTCATTACATAAAATAGGATGGCTTCGCAGAACCTATAAATCTACTCTGAATAAGAAATATCCTTTTCAATTATTGAACCTTAAATCTTTATATTTGACATTTTATCTTAGCATCCTTTCTAACTTAGCTACACTTATTTGCAAAAAAAAAATATATAGCACTTTTCATAAAAAATTTATTTATTTATTTACTATAAATTCTTTGCGCAATAAGTGTAGAGATAGGCATTCCTCATCCTAAACATATTGTAAAAATTTAAGGCGCTTCGTACTTCGTAGGCAAAAAAGTTAAGATAAAATCTATACTTAAGGAGATCGTAGCTCAATTAAGGATACGAACACTGCATAAATAAATAGATAGCAGTGCAATGCTCTACCGTTGAGCTATGAGGGCTAATAATTATTTATGAATCAGAAATAACTAAATCATTAAATTTTTAATAACTATAAAGATAGTTATTTTTAGCTACATATTCTGGTAATAAAGCACCATTACCTGGAATAAATATAAAATACTCCTAAAAAAAGAAATTTATACTCTTTAATAGCATGGATTTAGCCAAGGCAAACTATGGCCCCACCACGACTCCCTTTAGTTCCTAACATTAAAAGAGTAAAGTACGCATAAAAATTATTCATCAGGTTTTTCATTAAAGAAGGTAGGACGGCTTCGCAGAACCTACCAAAATTTCTGCGAAGCAGAAATTTTTACAAGATTTAAATTTTATGACACTATGTCCGTCAACTATTAGAAAATTTTAATGATTTAAGGTTACTTTTTTTGCCCGCTTAAAATATAAAAATTTTAACACTTAGCATAATTACAAAATTGATAAAACATTACTTAAAACTTTTAGTTAAGATATTTAACTTAGGCCATAAGAGCAGAGATATTTACTACCCGCTCTACCATTGAGCTATAAATACTTAACTTTAGGAAGAAAAGGACTCGAACCTTCGACAGCTAATAGCTACTGAGTTTACAGCTCAGCCCGTCATACCAACAAACGGAACCTTCCTTTTTATTATTTTGTTAATATTTATGAATCCCGGGCAACTTCCACTACCCGAACCGTATTTCGACTTTACACTAATCAGAGTCGCGCATACGAAGAATCCTACTATAAAAAACCTGAATCCTATCATACACTTAATTATAATAGAAGAGCAAACTTATTGCACCAACTCCTTTCAGCATGTGACGAGTGGTTAGTACCAATCCGAAGATTATTCACCGTGACATGGTGATTCACGATTACTAGCAATTTCTTATTCATGCAGCCGAATTTCAGGCTACAATTCATTTCCCATATTTTATCCTATTTTTTGAGATTAGCTCAAATGCAAATTTTTGCGTCTCTTTGTCTCAATTTGTCAATTTTATCATAAAGCAAATTAAATTAATAAAATGCATTGCCACTACTGTCTTATAGTTATCAACTAAACCTGATATCAAGTAAGCTAAAAAAAAGAATTAACTTAGAAAATTAGCTAGATCTTCCTCGATTAATTCCGGCCTTTAACTTAAATATATCGTCTAATCCTTCTCTAGAAAGATGACCTTTATTTTTTATTATCTCACCAGCTCGACATCAATCCTCGAAATCTAAAGATTTTACACCTAGAATAGGATAATTTATAAAGAAAGAGATAATCTTTTCTTGAATATCTGAAAATTTAGTTACATTAAAATTAACTTTACTTCCATTGTGCTTTTCATTTACTACCAATCTTCCACACCCTAAATAAGAAACTAAGCTTCCAATAAGCTCTTTATCTCTTTCATTTTGAGTAATTTGGAATGACAGTTGTACACCGTATCCTAACTTAGCGTGCCGATTCACGCTTGTCTTAATCATAAAACAACCCTCACCGCTTGTAAAACCTGCTACTCAATGAGGGTGAGGTATTTGGCTTACCACAGTTGGTCTAGGAACAGGCACAATATTAGTAAAACTAACTTTTAATTCGCTAGATAATAAACCTCTATTCATAGATGCTTTTATTCCTACAATTTTTTGTATAAATTCTTCTTTCGCCATATTTTTTTTAGAATTTATTAAATTAATAGCCTCTTTAAAAAGAAGATAATCAGAATACTTCTGAGTTATTAAAGGATATTTATCAAAATTAGGTAAAACTCTTTCATTTATTTCTTTTATCGAGCTTATGGTATATTGAAGACTATCTTTCCCATGAATATTTATACCACCAGCTCCTCCGAAATAATTTTGAATTTGTTTCATTAGTTCTAATTCTTTTTTATGAAGAGAAATATCAAATCTAGCTTCGACATATCAAGAGTTATTTCTATTTCTAACTTGTAATAAAAAACACCCTTCTGCGTCTACAAATCCTGTTACAAATCAAGGATTTATCGAAGTAACGGGTAATTCTGAGGAAGTAGAAAGAGATGTTAATACACTAGACTTAAGGACAGTAGTACTAGAATAACATTTTAATCCTGTAATTTGCCCCTTAGAAAGGACATTGATTCAAGGGCTCCTCTCAGAGCCTATCAGAGTACACCTTAACACTAAACCTTTGCTAGCTTGTTTAGTGTAACCACCGTCTACTCGTTGCTCTTTTACAATAACAGATTCTTTTTGATCAATGGGTATTAAATCTGTTATTGACTTAGATCCGCGATATTCCATTGCTTTTTCAAGCATCTCTTGCATTATTACCATACACAGATAATTAGTCTGTCCACTTATAAACTTTCGGTTATAGCTTGGGAGCAAGAGCTTTAGGAGTTCCCCGGAATTTGATGGTTTGTCCCATCTAGTCGATATCCTACAACGACCGATAGGAGAACTGCAGCACGTCTATCATGGAAATCAAATTTAACATAGCAATTATTAATTAAAAAATTTAAATATTATTAAGCTTATCATTTCCTATTTAAATTCATCATTTCTACTATATTTACTATTTTTTTTAAACCCTCCATATTTAAATGTTCTTTATTTTTCACTAATTCAGCTACTTTACATCAATCTTCAAAGTCCTTTGCTTTTACACCTTTTATAGGATTTTCCTTAAAAAAAGGTATAACTTTATACTCTACATCACTATTGTTTTTAATTTGTAATAAACAAGTATTATTTTTTTCAGAACTATGTATTGACATTTCTTTATTTATAGCAGTATTATCCGAATTATATAAACTAAAATAATTAGCCATTCCTTTTAAAAGATCTTTTTCTCTAATATGTAAACAGGTTCCGAATATTAATCTTACTCTTTTTCCTATTCTACTAGTACTTTTTTCTATTGAAACACTAAATGTAGAATCTCCTGTCACAAATCCTGATATTCAACTAGGATCCGGTATACCTTTAAATACATAATCTAATTTAGTTTCAGGTTTAATATCTGGAAAAGCATCATTTAATTCAGGAGAAAGCCCTTTATTTAAAGTAGCACGTAATTCTAAAATTCTTTGAAATCCCTCTTTAGTTAAATACCCTTTTTCTTTTATTATATTGTAACATTCTTCAAATAATAAAAAATCAAGATATTTTGCACTAACTAAAGGATATTTTTTAAAATGATCTATAATAACTTGCAATTCCTGAATATCACTAACTCTTAATAAAACTGTATTTTCATTGTTTTTTCGTAGTTTTCCTACTCCTAAACTTTTATGTATTAGTTCTAATAATAAAACATCTTTACTATGGATATGTATAGAAAAATATGCTGAAACTCTTCACTTCATTTTAATATTATCACATCTAGAAATAGAAATGATAAAAGAACCTTCTGCGTCAGAGAATCCAGTAATAAATCAAGGGTCTAGCTTTTCTTTTGAAACTTTACCCAAGGTAGAATAGCTTTTGCTTAATAATGCCTTAGTAGGGATTTTGACCTGACTACTTCCAATTCTTCAATTAGAGAGTAGGCTGTATTTATTACAGCAACCTCTTTCAAGGCCCATTAGAGTACACCTTAAACCTTTTTTTATGTTTGGATTGGCTTTTATAAAAAAAGGTCAACTACCGTCTACTCGTTGCTCTTTTACAATTATATTATTATATTTATTAGCTAGCATTAAATTATTTATAATTGATTTAGATCCGCGATAGTCCATTTCATTTTCACTCATCTTTTGAATTATTACTTTACCTGAGTAATTACTTCAGCCACTTGTGTATTTTCATACACTGCTTAGTATCAAAAGTTTTAGGACGTCCCCGGAGTTTGATAGTTTTAGCCAATCTTGTGTATTCCCACTACACATATCAGCCCACAATATTAAGGCCATGATGACTTGTCTTATTCCCCTTTATCCTAACCATTGTAAAGGGTTAGAAATGCTCTATTATTAGTAATTTATAAATAAAGCCAGGGTATTCGTTAATTACAC